TAATCGCCATGACGATGCATCGCGATTCTTATTTTTGTGATCTACTGCATCGATTGTTGAAGGCAAGAATCGATTCTTAATTTAAAAAAAATTAGGGATGCACGATATAATCGGCCCCCTATCGGTATCGGCCTTAAAACTGAATATGGGACATCGGCCACCCCACCGATATTTAACCCCATATTTGATCAGCTTCTGAGTTTCTAAAGCATAAAAAAAAAAACTTCTTAAGACGAGGGAAAAAATATTGATCCATTAAAATATCCCAATATCTTCATATGCTGATATATTGCCATTTAAAAACACCATATCAATCTCTTTTACTAATGAAATATTGATATATGTCATCGTTATGCTACGAAATCCCCCGAAAATTCACGAAATGTTGCCATATTTTTATATGTTGATATATTGACGCGGTATCGATCTATTTTACTAACAAAATCTCACAAGAATTTGCAAAATATCACGAGAGTTTGTAACAGAACGATGAAATTTCACGAGATTTTGAAAGTAAAATAGATCGATACCGCGTTTTTAAAAATCTATTTGATATCAGCATATGAAAATATATTTGAGTATATTATTTTTCAAAGTGTCAGAAATGGATAACAAAACTGCTATTTTCAATGACTACTTATTTTTGTCCAGCTTTAACATCGGTATCGATATCGGTTATCGGCTACATGAGTTTTAAAATATCGGCATATCAGCCAGAATCCCAATATCGTGCATCCCTAAAAAAAATGAACAAATAAAATACATGAATGGTTGGCGCTCATCAGCCAAACCAAGTGGAATACAACTTCCAGTCCAGCAGATGTCGCTGCAGATGTGTTGACGCCCGCTGCTTTGCGTCACAAGCATTTCCGGCCGCGGGGTACTGCGACGAGTCATATGAAATAAAACATGGAGGACACTATGAAAATTCGCCCCGCGGCTCCATCACATTTCAAGTCAGATGCTTGGATGCATTCTGGCTTTAAAAACAAAGAAGGTAAAAATGCAATTGATATGATGCACATCATTTGCAAAAGGAGAAATATACATTTGAATGTTTTTGTTTCATTGGCCTAAAGGACCACTGAGGCCATTTAAACAGCACTGATTATCCTTATTTTGTTATTTTAAGTTTGATGAATCCTAAGATCTTTTTTTCAGTGTGTCCACGCCAGTAATAGTAATATTTCTGTCCAGTATTTGTTTCCATGGCAACACCTCCAAAAGTCGTTTACATAAATACAGCTATGTATGAATTCAGTTATGTATCAATTGAAGACACGATCCAGATCACACCCAGCCAGTCAGCCACTGGTAAGGGCTGCATCTTTTTCTTACAGTGTTCAGTGAAAATATTGCAATATTTCAAGTATCATGATGCATCGTGATAGAATCGCATCGTGGCATGTGAATCGTGATTCGAATCGAATCATGACTTCTTTGCCAATACCCACCACTAATGGAAAGACTTGATCAAGTGATTTTACTTAATCAGAGAATATTAGCCAACAACAATAGGTATGAGAGCAGCTGACTCATTTGTTTTGAGACAAAGATTCACAGAAAGTTTAAAATATCTGACTGATTTCAATCCAAAATCAATATTGGATCAGGACATCCCTTGTTTATGTTAGTGCTGGGTATCGATTCAAACATCAAGAATCAATTTGATTCTGATTGATTGAAAAACCTCTGATTGGTTGAACAATCTATTTTTTCTTTTTTTAAACACAGCCCTTGTTTAGACACTTTATATTTCTGGACGTATAACAGATATTAAGATCTACTCTATTTTGACCAAATATGGTTGAAGCCAAAAAAAAGTCACACATGCATTTTAGCAGACAGTAGTAAAATGTGCAGAAAATGCTAAACTCCCAGTACATGTTAAAGGGAAATACAATTTAAAAACATATATATTTTAAAATGTGTTTTAAAGGATTTTGCACAATTGTGTTCTAATCAACTGGTGCCAAACTAATAATGCAGGAGAATTTTCATGTGACTCACAGAATACAGTTTTTCTACAATAACAAAACTCCAAAGTTAAAAGGCCCAAATAGTTTTGGATCAAATAGAGCGAAGCTGAGAAGAAAGAGGTTTTTGTTTTGTGACTCAGAAATGATTTCCTTACTTGTACTCAAATATTTAAAGAGGGTGTAAGTTAGTAATTGTGACAGACCATCACCCTATTTGGTTTCTCTCTGGGACTCCGCAGCTACAATGCACAAATCGTTTAGATTCAAAATTCCCTTCATAGGCACCAGCCATCCGCAAGCTCCTCACTCTTCCCAATCAACAGAACTCAGTCTGTTTAGCTTGTGAATATTTTTTGGTTTGTTCTATTTTAAAACCAGGACCCTGGTTCAACCCGACAAACCACACCTCCCCAACATGTCATAACGAATAAGGATGAATCAGGAAGCACAGTTTACTGTTTAGCTGGAAGCATTTCAGCTGGTAATCCAAAATAATAAATATAACAAAATTGATGTAAGCTGCAGCTCAATAACAACCTCGGGTTAGAAAGCGTCAGAAAAGGTGTGAAGCTCAAAGTTTTGACATTTTAGTCACATAAAGGATCAACTCTTGACTCTCTGCAGGTCTTGTTGTCATTTGTTGAAGTTCTGTTAGATGTAAGCTGCAGAAACGGATTCAAAAGAAAAAACTCTCTGCTTTTATGGGTAATTATTTGCTGGACTAGAGGCCCCTGCTGTCCCCTATGAATATTAACCGACAAATTAAACTGAGAAAATAAAATATTATTTATTCATTCATTTTGGGCATACAAATTAATTCCATCTGCTAATGTTTAACCTTCAACTCTTAAAGAAAACTGTGTTCGTTAATGTTTGATTTTAATGCTGTTTGGCAGATATCGAGACACAAAAAAACCTTAAGGAAAATCTTAATCTGAGAAGCCTGATGGATTATGTGTAGCACACTGGTTTATATCTATTAATCTGGGAATGCTTCAACCAAATGTGTTCAGGGAGAGACATTTACCAGAACCTTGCAAGCTGATTGGCCAAAGCGACACCTAATGCCCGCCTACCAAAGGTTGGTTTAAACCAATCACAGTAACAAATGAAACGGCAGCAGACACTATGAGAAACCGCAACCATTTATGCTTTAAAACTTTTGCTATTCCTGTTTCAAAAACGACATTTTGGAATCTGACAAATGCTCAGCAGCTCTTCCTTTAGTCGAGGCTATAAGTCCCACCCTAAACCATCATACTGCAACGTGATTGGCCGCCCTGTTTTGGATCGGTCAGAGCTGCTGAGGCGGGAAATGATGGATTCTGTGGTTTGAGAACACTAAAAATACCAAACCCAAATATAAAGTTCTGATGTCTATTATGAGTCTAATGAAAGAAATAGCTAAGGGTTGGGGGAATGGGATTTAAAGCAGAAATTGAAATTATTTTGGAATTGTTTACATTTCTATTTGATTCAAACTCATTATTTAACAAAGATCTATCTGCACATTTATTTCAAATTGGCTGGAAAACTAAACTGGGAAAATAAACTAATTTTTTACCCTCAACAGAAGAGTAATTGAAATATTTAAATATATGGTTTTATTTGAGAAATACCGAACTTTGTAACTTAATGGTAAATTAAATTCATATCAACATTAAAGGGACATTTTGCTGAGTAGAGGGTTACAGACTAACAAAACTATGGTGAAAAAGGTCCAACACTGATTAAAGGTGGTTTTCTGAAACCTTTTAAATTCAGTTTTTCTTATGATTTGTGACTTAACTTTTTACAAGTTTTAATCTTAATTTAGAATGATAAAAAAACCTTCCACAGTTGAATCTATCTCTGTCCGTCAGCTACATTATATGAGTTATGATGCTGGAAATCAAGAGGTAAAGATGTCATCTGCCATCTTACTTGATGGTGCAAATTCTCAGTGATTCGGAAATTTAGTTTAATAAAAAAAACACTTCACATTAAATGCATCTCATTTTCCCGACTCATCTAGAAAATTCCTTTAAACAATTTCAGAACCTTTTCCTGACTTCATTGGAACACTTTTAACCTGATTTTCAATTATTTATTTCACAATTCAAGCCCCCAAAAAACAGCTGAAATTAATAAATTAAACCAAAAAGGATGTTTTAACCAAAATGAGCTCAAACCAACAGAAAATATTTGGTGTTAAAATCTGAATATTCCTTAAATCTACTTGAAATCTAATCAAATCTAGTTTATTCTCCAGGTGCACAGGATTTATATTAGTAAAGCACTATACATTACAGTATTTTATTTTTTAACTCCTCACTATGATGATATTCTTATACACTTTTCTAAGATCCACATTTGTGCGACCATTTTTTAATAATCTTTTTGCTGTTGTAAAGACCAGAATTTCCCCGTTGTGGGACAAGAAAAGGATTTTCTATTCTATTCTATTCTATACTACACTACTCTATTCTAATCTATCCTATTCTAAACTACTCTATCTTATTCTATTCTATCCTACTCTACTCTATCCTATTTTATTCTACTCTATTTTACTCCATCCTATTCTATTTTACTCTATCCTATTCTATCCTATGATATTCTACTCTATCCTATTCTACTCTATCATATTTTATTCTACTCTATTTTACTCTATTCTATTCTACTCTATCCTATTCTACTCTATTTTACTCTATTCTATTCTACTCTATCCGATTCTATTCTACTCTCTCTTACTCTGTCTTATTCTATCCTACTCTATCCAATTCTACTCTATCCTATTCTATTCTACTCTATCATTTTCTATTTCACTCTGTTCTATTCTATACTACTATATTCTATTCTACTCTCTATTCAGAGGCAACATTTATATCTACGCTTTACCATAAATGCAACGGCTTCAAACACAGATGTTTAACAGATGTAAAAAAAAAAAAACAACACAAATAATCAAGGTGTTTGTTTGTGTTTAGCCAGGAATCCCTTTTCTCCACCCCGGCTTGTTTTTATGTGAGCAGCGGTACTTACTGTCAGCGGCGGCGGGCCGAAGGCAGCAGGACAGCGCCAGCATCAGACCCCCGAACAAGGTCAGGCAGCTCCCTTCCATCGCTGAACGCCTAAAACCTGCGGAAAAATGAGCTGCGAATGTGGATCCGCGGGGAAAACCCAACCACTGCGGACAAAAAAAAACTATTTCTGCCCCCAATATCCCACCTTGTAGCCGTTAGCCGGCTAAAGGAGCTAATAGCCGCAGACTAGCCAGGCTGCTCTCACGCTTCCTAACGGGAGTCCAGTGGAGCTCAGGAAACCAGCTTTTATCCCGCTGAGCAGACGCAGCGTGCTCATAGTTCACCCTATCCCTGCATTGACGAGCAGAATGGAAGCATGGCGGCGGCTAAACTAGCGGGGATTCCTCGGTGATCGTAATCCACATCTTCACACTCCATATCAGGAGACAGAAATAAAAAAATACCATCGATGCTCCGCGGATGGAGGGCCTTCTGGGTCAGCTCAGTCTGAGGTGGAGGTAGAAAAAAAGATGGAGCGGGGAACCCGGAGGCACGCAGCCCCGTTAACTGACCGACGCGACGTCTCTGTGGAAATATCCACGACAAAAATCTGGTCTCAGACCGATGCCTCGTTCTCCTCCTCCTCCTCCTCCTTAACCGGTCATCACACGCGCACACACACACCGCCTTGTTGGAGGAGACGCCGTGGTTGGGTAATGACTTCAAACAAAACAAAATAAAATAGAAAATAAAACCCAAAAAGCTTGTGGAGTGTTCAAAGATGTGAGCTCTCTCGGCTGAACAGCTTAACACTCAGATACTCGCTCTGTCTGCAGTCTGCGGCGCTCGCTGTAAACAAGGCGCCATGCGCACAGATCGTCTCTACCTGACAGATGAATCACACAGCTGTACGGATCAGGAGGGCGTCGTTCCCACTGCAGGCTAGCTTTAGTTACCATGGCGACACACCGTGCATTAAAAAACTCAATTCAAATATTCACTGTGATTTGTAAGGAATAACTTTGTTTTTGGCGTTTATGTGAGCAGATCAGCAAAGTTCACAATTTTCAACATTTGAAATAAACATACAGTTCTAGACAGGGGCCAGTGCCCTTGTAGAACTGGTCCTGGCTGCTTTATTTAAGACGGAATATAAACTTATGATAAACTCATTATATGCATTTGCACAGACATCACAAATGTTTATGATTTTTACATATTTTTACATCTTTAGATCTTTACAGTTTTATGTTGGCTCTGAAATTGACTGGCAACGTGCCCAGGGTGTACTCTGCCTTCCACCCATAGACTGCTGGAGAGAGGCACCATGGATGGATGGATGGTTTTATTTGGACAATGACGAAAAAATCTTGTTGTTGCATTTTTAGCCACAGTCACATTTAGATATGATTACAGTTTTAACCTTCTTTGTTTGAAGTTTCCAGAGCTGAAATGTTTGGTTCACTGTATAAGTGAAACAATGAACCGTTGGAGTGTTTTGCGTGTGTGTGTGTGTGTGTGTGTGTGTGTGTGTGTGTGTGTGTGTGTGTGTGTGTGTGTGTGTGTCAAGTATGTGTGCGTGTGTGTGTGTGTGTGTGTGTGTGTGTGTGTGTGTGTGTGTGTGTCAAGTATGTGTGCGTGTGTGTGTGTGTGTCAAGTGTGTGTGTGTGTGTGTGTGTGTGTGTGTGTGTGTGTCAAGAATGTGTGTGTGTGTGTGTGTGTGTGTGTGTGTGTCATTCTTTTGTTTTGTGTCCCCATGAAAAAAAGAGTGGCCCCACTCTGTGCACATGGTAAATCTGGTATGCAACTGCTACTGCAACTGATTTAAAATCAATTTCAACTTCAGTTAAATTTGAAATAACATGAGCTAAAATTGCATCATTTAAAATTTGAGAAAAAAATTATGAGAACAATGAACAATTTCGCATCGAACAAATAGTTAAAATACAGTAAAAAAAAAAAAAAAAAAAAGGGTCTGGTTCCAATTGCCCCCCCAAAAAAAGGCAGAGTGAGACCTCCCTGTTCCCAGGCTAAATGCACAGCAGTAACCACTCCGCTTGTTTTACTGCATGGTGTTCAGGAAATCTGGGATGCAGATCCAGGATCGGGTTTGTTTTGCTGCTCAGAAATGTCCAAAGCAGTCCTGCTGCATGCACACAGCTCCTCTATGCAGGTGGCGGGTCTTTTGAGAGATCACTCCTTCAATTGATGAAGTAAAATGTTAAGCTGCATTTTTATCCTTTACAAAGATTTTTTTTATTTGTTATCTTTCATATCATATCAGCTGTTTTTATAATTGCAAAGTTATAATATATGAAAATGCGGAATAAATACCATATGAAAATCGACATAGCTTATTTAGATAATGTAAGACATTCTAATTAAAATAAGACTGATTTTATTATATTTTTAAGACTTTTTAATTTTTGGCATGTGGCAAAGAATTTTTTTTTTTACAGCAAAGTTTTTAGGACTTGCTTAAAGCTGCAAAGTGAGTAATAATCATTAATATAAAGCGTCACCAGCAGCATAAGAACCAGGAACTAAATGGTCCTCATCCTTATGACCAATAATAGTAACATAGAGATGGTTAGAGGTAAAATAAAAGATGGCAACTGAAATATCTAAAACGTCATTTAATTGGTGTGAGACACGATAATATTGTAAGGGTAACATTTTTCTTTTTTTAGAGCTTTAACTTACATAAAATACAAGGAGAGTAAATGTAAAAATCGTCTATTCAGTTTCACTGTATGTAAAATAATAATTTGTTCAGTTAATATATATATATATATATATATATATATATATATATATATATATATATATATATATATATATATATATATATATATATATATATATATATATATATATATATATATTCAAGCTCAGTAAGCTCAGTTTTGCATAAATAAATCATGTAAAATTTCAGAAACTTAAGGTGAATATATATATATATATATATATATATATATATTCACCTTAAGTTTCTGAAATTTTACATGATTTATTTATGCAAAACTGAGCTTACCAATTTGTCATGTCGCAACGCTGGACACCAAAAGACTGCCATCTGGAGGACGAAATTAGTCATTGCAATCATCAAATTAAAAGAAGTATGAGTACGTGAGTAAAAATTAAAACACCGGCAAGGCAATTTAAATTGCATTACATTATAAATCATTTGACCAAATGTGCAGTAAATCATTAAAAATGACAATTAGGTAACCAGCCAACCATCAAAACATCAGAATCATCACATAAAAACTATTAAACAGAAGCTTGTAGTTAGAGTGGCTCAGGTTATCCTGAGGTATCTCTATAGTTCTGCTGCTATAGGCTTAGACTGCTGGAGGACATAGGGACCCTTTTCATCATTCTGACTCATTTCAGCTCTGTTCTCCCATTCAAACCTTGGAAACCAAGTCCAGTGGATTGTTTTTTTAAACTTTATGGAATGAATATGACCTGGATGACTGAGAATCTTTATCAGCTATTTTCCCATTCTGCAGTATTTTTTATTTCAATCTCTAACGTTATGCTCTCTCTACTTTTTCTCAGTAACTTCATTATCATAGTAGCTGTGACTCCATCCTGGAGAGAAATATAAGCTGTGCTTCTGCCATCAACACCTTTGTTTATAGATGGTGCAGCCTGGCCTGTTTTTCAGTGTAGTCCTGTTTCCCTCATTGTGCCTGGCTGGATGTGATCTCTTTTCTTTTTTCTTCTTCTTTCTTTTGTAGCAGCACTAGTGGTTCGTTTTAGTCTAACAGGAAAGGGGGTATGAGATAGGCAGACAGACACGGGGCAAAGGACCAAAGGTCTGATTCGAACCCAGGGGGCAGTGTGCGCTAACCGCTGCTCCACCTGCATGCCCGGATGTGCTTCATCCTCTGACATGGGAGCTGGCTCGGAGCTCGTCTGCCTGGCTGTGTGTTTCCTGGACGGGGCCGCCTGTGGAGCTGGTTGACAGTTGCCTTTTGTATCTATGCTTCTTTCTGTATGTCTCCTTCTGTCTCCCTGAACCCCAGTCAGCCTCTGCAGATGGCCGCTCACACTGAGCCTGGTTCTGCAGGAGGTTTCCTGCTGTTAAGGAGAGTTTTTCTCTCCACTGTCGCTACAAGCATGCTTGGTGTGAAGGAGTACTGTAGAGTAAATGAGTCAATCAGCTGGTTTTCCTTTGATAGAAAACTTTGAACCAATGTGACTGGATGATCTGGTGTAATTGTCTCTGTCAAGTGCCAAGAGATGACATTCACTGTGAATTAGCACTATATAAATAAACTAATTTGAATTGAATCAATACACATGATAATCACAGGGAAACAGTCAATGTGTGATAAGATATTTTGTTTGGAGCAGCTTTTCTCCTGGATTTGTTTGCATACTAAAAATCAAAGGCAGCTCTAAACATGTTGGTCTTCAGCCTTCATTTATAGGAATGTAGTGTTTTTGGCTGTTTTGTAGTTTTCTGGGAGTTTGTTCCAGATTTAAGGTGCATAAAAACTTAAAGCTGCTTCTTCATATTTATATCTAGTTCTGGGGATACAAAGTAGACTGGAACCAGAAGACCTGAGTCTTTTGGAAGGTTGAAATAATGATATGAAGTCTCTAATTTATTGTGGTGCTAAACCTTACAGCAGAAAAAATAGAGCATATCACCCTCGTTTTAAATAAACTAATATAATTAATTTAAAGTCCAATATTTGAGCTACAGTGAGTCAGTGTAAGGAATTTAAAATTTGAAATGCTGTATTTTTCTTGTAAATTGTAAATGTTAAATACTTATATAGCGCTTTTTCAAGTTAGGAGACATGACCAAATCGCTTTACACTACATTCAGCCATTCTTCTATTCACACACACGCTTATGGTGGCATGCCACATTGTAGCCACATCAGCCCTGCGGCTCACTGGCGATACTGGGCAGGTGTAGTGTCTTGCCCAAACACACAATGACTTTGAAAGTCAGAGCTGGCTTCTCTAGATCTTGCAGTGACATTAGTTGTTGTTGGGTTTTTTACTCTGGAAAGGGGGTGGAACACTGATTTTTCTAACAGTTTTAATGTGTCTGAAAGTTCAGCACTGAGTTTATTACTACATCCAGATTTTGGGGCGCTTTTAAAGGTTTCTAAACAAAGTAGATAAATTAATGATTTATCCTAGCCTAGAGGGCTGCAGAGCTGACAAGAGATCAGATCCAGGCAGATGAGGAAAGGCAAGGTAATCCACAGGGCAAAATCATGAGGCAGATCCAGGTTCAGTACACAGAAGAAATCAACAGGAGTCCGAAGACAGGCCAGGCAAACAGATCAGATAGGGACAGGCAGGCTCAAAAGTCTGAATACAGAAACAGGTCAGGATCAGGCAAACAAAACACTATTAGTAACACTCGAAAACTCTTAAAAACAAAAGCTCAAGAATAATCTGGCACTGATGCCGATCGAGTGAAATGAGCAATCAAGCCAGCCATCAGCGCCAGAATCATGACTGCGGAAGCTGCAAGCTGTTTCTTGCTCGTTCCTCTCTATGTCCAAAGATAATAACTTCAGTTTTGTTTTTGTTCAGTAGAGGAATTTTTAGCTCATTTGTGCATTGATTTGCTCTAAGCATCTGTTCAGAGCTTGGATAGTTTCACACTCACCTGGTGATAATGTCATGTAAAGCTGTATATAATCTGCATAGTTTTGATAACTAATCTTATTCCTTATTATAATCTAGGATAGAGGAGTATGTAGATATTAAAGGGAAGGGGTCCCAGGATTGAACCTTGGGGTATTCCTGTCTGAAA